ACAACAATAAGAGAAAAGTTAAAGCTAAAGGGATAGAGGAAACAAGTAGTAGGTAGGGGAAGAAGAGTATTTATACTCACTAGACAGCGTTTACTATATAGCACTATTACCTGACTCTCTCTTACCTTTACTATATACCTTTACCTTAACTATATAAAATACTAAACATGTAATAGCAAATAGATAGAGAGAAAAGAAAAGAAGACTAAGAAATACGCACGTGATATTAGATAAGGTGAAGAAGGGGAGTATTGTAAAGGGCTACGCTAGAGAGGTATAACCTATAGGTCACATAGTAGTAAATTATATAACTTTAGTTACGTAACTAAATAACGTAGTTAGCTATGTATAAATAAGCTTAAGTAAGAAAGAAGACTAAAGGTCTAAGCATTTGTACAAGTAACAACTATAAAAAGAGGCCCCTCTAGATAGTTCTTTTCTATATCTTTCTTCTTCTATACAATAGGTGAATGCATACTCATTAGTTAGGCCTCTCTCGCCCATAACACTTAAGCTATAACGTGGTTCATAAGCGAGTTAGTCACCCAAGCGAGTTAGTCACTCCCTACTAGCGCGTTAACGTTGACACGTTATTATAGTCTTCTATTATAGTTAATAAACTATTATAATATACTAAATTAATTATTAGAATTACTACTATTACTTATACTATCTATCTTAACTACGTAAGTATAAGCGTTGTATCTAGTCTGCTTATAACGCCCGCACTGCCGCTCTCCTTACACCCTCTTTAACGCACTCTTACTATTACTATAACTACTACTTACCTATTTAGCTAATACTTTTTGTACTTTACCTATAGTAAGAGTCTCTTCTATTTGTATATATTACTATTTATAGCTCTTACGCTTATTTGCTATATCTAGAGCCTCTTAAAGAGCAGCTACTTTCTCTCTTATAAGCGTTATCCTATATGCTATTTACTAAGCCTCTTTACTTAGCTATACAACCTTCTTATTAAGAGAATTTATAGAAGACTTAGGGTAGTTTTTTACTCTTTATTAAATAAAAGTACTTTAAGCTTTAACCTTGCGCGCGTTGCGTGGTGTCTGCGCCTGCTAGGCGGCTGTCTGTTGTGGTAATTGTATAGGTGTCTGCACCACCACATTAAGCTTAGATAGCATAGCCTATAGGTTGTGTAGGACTATACTAATTATAGCATTAAAAGGATATAGGAAAAAGAAGCAGATATAGCTAGGCAACTATAAGTAGGTTGCTATAATCTAAGGGGTGGGCGCGTTAGGTTGCTAAATACTGTAACGATGTTACAACTTCGCCAAGTATTGAGCCAATCCCAGAGCCGGATCGGAGGAAGTACCTGCCGCCCTTTATCAGCCATTCGCCCGAGGTCGGATCCGAATTCGGACCCGACTAGGATAGGTATATATTGAGACACTCCCTGTAGCTAGCTCTGTAGACTTTTCATATCCTTTCGTACAAGGCCTATAGGTGGCTTGTTGAATCTAGGCTCTTTGTGATCCCACGCACTCCCATATGCCTCTGAGTGATCCTACGACCGAAACAGATCCGACCTGCCTTACCTGCGCCGTTACAAATACCACCTTTTATTATCTTTGCAGGCAAGGTGCTTATTAACGTCTAGTTTAAGGATTTGCCTGCTAACTAGGTTCTTGAAGTTAGTCCTAATGGCTGGACGAATAATTAGCTTAGTCTTGCCTAGTTAGAGCACTTTAATACCTATACAAAGAGCTCTACTATAGGTGGGTATTAACTGCTTATTATTAATAGCTATAAGAGCTACTGCTCTATTAATTTCTAAGATCTTTGCAAGGAGAAGAATATTATGCTTCTCTACATGCCTGCGCACTTGTCTTACCTATTATAGCCTCTTAACGTCGCCTGCCTTTCGCTATTAAAGCGCAAGTATAGCAACGCTATTTTAAGCTTAGCATACAACCTGTCAGACTGTGAGGGGTTTCTGATCAAGGACTGTTTTTGGGTCACTGTGATAAAAGACTGTGATAAACTTAAGTATAGAAACTGAGTGTATTGAGTTGTTGTGTGTTCTGTCGTCTGTAGGGGCGCGAGGGCGCGCCCCTTATAAGAGCTATCGCTATTGCTTTTTGTATTAGGTAGGCCGCTAAGTATCAGCCTCGCCTAGGGTTAGGTCTTGGCGATCAGCCCTGACTGGTTGGGATCACAGAATCCTGGTGCTCGAGTCCGCACCCGGATTCTGCCACTTATCTGACACAACCACACCTACTATATTAGCAAAGAGACCTTTCTACTAGCCTTTAAGACTGCTTTTAAGCAGTCTATTACAAAGGAGAATATCTAAGCTAGCTTTAGAGGCGCTAATATCTATAATAAAATCTTGCCTATTATAAAGCTAGTTTTGTTAAAGTGATAAATATTATTATCTATAATACACTACTTCTACCTTATTACCTAGACTAAGTTAAACTAGCGCTAGATAGCTACTAAGTCCTTATAGGGAGCTCGCTAGTAATTATAAGAATAGCTCTAGCGCGTATAGAGCTTAGCAGTCTACCTAATAAAGTTATTAACCTAATTCTTACTAATAGGGTTGCTACTACGCTTTTCTAATAGTTTATTAGCTATTGCTTAAACCTTAGCCTTTATAGGAGCAAATCCACGCGTAGACTCTTTAAAAATACGTCTAATAATAGCCTCCTCTTCTAACTTATTTAGGCGCTTTAAATTTAGTTTATAGTTATGTTGGGGGCGCTTTTTAGCCTATTAATTAGATATTATACTTTAAGGCACGTTATAGATAGAGGTAGCGCGTCTTTAGCTTTAAACACGTTATAATTAGATATTAAAAAGAGCAAGTTAAAGATCTAATTTAAGATAAATTAATTAATAGTTATATTGTTAAAATATAACATGTTGTAGTATCAACGTTGACGCGCTAGTAGGGAGTGACTGACTCGCTTAGGTGACTAACTCGCTCATGAACCACGTTATAGTAATATAATCTATAAAAATTTTTTTCTTTATATTTTTATGTATATACCTCTAGCTAGCTACTTACTAAGTAAAAAGTAGGTCTACTAGGCTAAATAGCTAGATCTTTGCTTTCTAAATCTATGCCCTACCTATTTTTAGCTCTTTAATTAGCTAACTTATTTAAGTTTAAAAATCTCTATTTTTTAAAGGACTTTTTTTTACTGTCACCCCTCTGTGGGAAAGCAGTGATGCCCGGCTGAAATTACATATCCTGACGGTCGTGTGTATATTGGGTCTTAGAACCAAGAACTCACCCAGTGCTATCTTACAACCGGCGAAGGCGCCGAAAAATATACAATCCAGCAGGTAGCTGACTCTTGGGGGCCCTGCTGTACGAACACGAATCAGAGATACTTTAACGTTCAAGGTGGGGCATGATATTCAGATTAAACGATACTGGTCATATTTTTGCGCAGGTAACACTTGGGCGGGAGAAAGCAAGCACAGAGAACAGAGAGGTTATGCGCATATATACTTCAAGGCTCATACATATGCATTGAGCTACCCAACACAACGTATGCCCTCAACACCCAATTCAAATAGAAATGAAGCCTACAGAACTATCAATACGAGATATTAGTGTGTTTTCTGAGAATACGGTGCGACAGCTCGACATGGATACTATTCGACTCACCTTTACCTACAAAGACATGTTATTTGTAACCCCCTTTCAGAATTCTGCCTACTCACTCCTTACAACATACAGCCTATCCGATTTTCTCTTGTGCTGCAATCCCTGTCGCTGCTGTTATGCTAAATGAATAAGCTGACACAAGGCTCCTTGTTTGGAGGGTACACGCATCTTGCACTAATAGCAACACATGTGAAGAATATATTGGATAGACCAACAGTAGCTAATACATGCGACCACAGGAAGTCCGACTAAACCGAAACCCGTTCGCTCTTCGTTAGTTAAACGGCTTTCCGGCGTGCTAGTAGCCAGGTGGGTGACCACTGGCGAATCCACGCTGTTGCATGTTTTTTGTTTTTTGTCCAACATGTCTACCACTATTCGAGGGGCTTTTGGTCACCAAATCCAGTTGTTATGTATCTGTGGTTCTTCGAAGGCGGGTTCAGGCTTGGACGGGTTGTTTTGGGATAAAATTCGTTCATGTCAAACTAATACCGTCTCCCTAGCAGACCCAATTCAGCATCCAACCTAGTATTTTTGTGACAATATCAAGAATACATCGACTCGTCGCTAGAGAATTCATTCTGGCAGAATTCAAAAGGCTTGTGTATATCGCATCCAGATGCACAAGCCCCACGTTCCGCTTGTCGCTGTTCACGCATCATCCACGACCCGCCACTGCGCCCCCATCAACGGATTGCTCTCTTCAGAACCCTCGTCAACTAGTTTCCTACTCCCCTCTTCACCGACGACGGGCAACGGGACCTCGAACCGCTTCCCCTGCTCCCTCGTCACTCCCTTAATCTCATACGGAAACGGCACGTAATCTGGCAACAAGCCGCATTGCTTCAGCAGTGTCGCATGGTCCCAGCTGATATGCTCGTGGCACAGGCGATCGCCGCGCAACGCAACGACAGACGTAAAGGGGATGGCGAGGCGTTTTCCCGTCGGCGGAACACCGGGGAGGAGCCAGGGAATGTGCTTGGTGTGCGTGAGGGAGAAGACGAATTCGTCGATTACGCGGTCGATTCCTACGGTGCGCGAGACGAGGGAGAGCGCCGTGTCCGGGGGGTTGCTGAAGACAAAGTGGTGCGTGTAGAAGTTTGTTAGGCGGTCTTTGCCGATGCCGCCGCTGGGAGGGGGTATAGTTAGTATCATACAGGAGATTGCATGGCTGGTTTCTAAGAAATAAAAGTACGTACGCCATCGTGGGAATGTGGTTGACGTAGGGTTGGTCGACCATTGTGGCCATTGTCTTTCCGACATCTCGATCCCCAAACTCATACTTTGTATGCTCTTCCCACACGGCCTCAAGATCGAAAAACGGGCCACCCAGCAAGGGCTTCAAGAAGGTGAGACTCCTGGTATGCGCGATTCCAGCGTTTCGTTTGTGGTAGTCTGGGTCGCTGGGAAGTATCCAGCTAGAGTCCTTCTCTGCGTCCTCGTAACGATACGTCTTGACAATGCCTGGAGTGATGCCTACTGATTCAGTCGATGACGCGCGACGATGAGCGACTGGAGGTCCTGATGTGTGGATTAACTGTGGTGGGTGGCTGGTTGCGCTGAGAGAAATAAACTTCCTGCCGCCGTAGGAAACGAGAGCTTTGATGTGTGCGTTTTGACAGGCGCCTTCCTCGACATAATATGGAATTCGTGTTAGATATGCTAAAGGCATTGTCAGTAGACGGACCAGGTTGCGACAAACTTTTAGGAAAGTTTACGAACAAATCAATCCAACACCCTTGTCAAACTCGCATCCTTTACATGCTTTGAGCACGTCCAGAGCTTTTTGGAGTGGGAATTCACCACCATCTTCGGCCGCGTTGCCAGGGACAAGAAGCTACACAACACTTAGTATTTAATTTAGGTTTCTTCTCTGTACTTGGTACCATTACACTACAATCAGATTGGCGTTTGAAGACATACCTGCACAACCGCAAACCCCTCCTCTGCCCATTTCTGCAGCGGCGGCGGATCTAGATGCTTCTCGCTGGCCTCAATCGCGGCGTAATGATCCAGTACCAATACCAGCCCTGGTCCTCTTCCACGCCTTGAAAGCGGTGCCTGAAGTGTCACATGTGGAGAAATGCGCTGTGCTTTCGGCGGCGTGAGCGCTGGCCCGGTTTCCAATGGTGGGGTAATTGGAGCACCGCCCATATTGAGCAATCCAGGTGTGCCACAAGGAACGTGTCAATGTCGCTGGTGTAGCAGAGTGTATTCTATGCTGAAAAATCAAGAGCGGTGATGTGATTTTGGTATCTCGACGTGTCTTGCGCGTTGAGGTTTGGGCAGAGAGTTCACACAGCTGCCAGAAGATGGATGAGACGAAGCTAATGTGGGGTTGGGTGCCTAAGCGGACGTTATGGTGTGACAAAGCCATTGACAGCATGGGTATATCTCCATCCCGGCATAATTTCTGCAGCTATTGCTACACGGTGGTTGTTTAGAGAGTGTTCGGTGTAGGACAAGCGCAGTCCATGCTGCATCAAGCGTGGCCGTACCTCCTCACGCCTTGCATACAGGCCTAATCTAGTAGCCCAGACATGCGGCAGATATTTGTGTCGTGGTCAGTAGTTTTGGGTTACATTGAACTGGTAAGACAGGCACGCGTGGGGTGGATGGTACGAGGCACAGAGTACTGGAGTGTTGTACGGGGTACGGCGATAGTCGGTCCATTCAGCAATGCAGTATGCAAATTCTGATGACTATGAATTGGTGTGATGATGCAACCCAGTCATTTGGAAGAGGCTAATAAAAGTTTGGTACAAAGTGATTTAGAAGATTGTCGCGTTTGGCTCTGCGCATGGAAAGACGCCTCGGGAAGCCGCGTTACGTTAATGTGCACGTGGCTCGGCACGACGAAGCCTTTCCGTCTTTTTGCATTGATTAGTCCATTCCGGGCGAAACAGTATGGGTCGTCACACAGCTATATATACCGTTGAAACTGCAAAAATAATGAATCGAGTTGGCAAAGATCAAGGTGTGGGATCATGAGAACCTACAGCTGCCCAGGAAGCTGAGTAAAAACTGAACTACTTAAGAGCTCCGCACTGCCCCTCGCATGCCTGAGAGCGGGGCCTCCATACTGGTGTAACGTTGAACAAATTATCAACTTGCGCGTGGTCTAGACGATCTTTCGTCTCTTTGGATGTAACTGGTTAGCTCCAAACTCTTATTCCAAACAATGAAATAGCCGTAGCACTGTATAACGTTCGAGGTACAACTGATATTCATCACATGGGACGAGCCATGTCTTGGGGTAGGCTTATGTCATTATGTAACTGCTTTGTCAGATTCGGGAAGGAAACTTTTCTGCATACCATCTGTGAAGGACCCCTGCGCATGGAGGCGCAGCCGATATAGAACCTGTTTTACTTCGTCCCAAGTAAGACACATGTCAGTTCTGGTATAGCAGTACATTCGCACGTATTCGCATATGCTTGAGGAGTATATTTATTATTCCACGGACTGCCTGCGTCAAACAACCATCCAGCCTGCTCATTGCGGTACTGAATAGAAACGTAGGCTACATTGCCGATAAGCAAGTCTCGAGTGAGTTCTCTGGGCATGCTACTAAGAGATATCAACGAGTGCATGAAAAGAACTTTAAGATGCTGCTGACTCAAACGCAGCCAGAGCTTCTTCGTGGAAGCGTTCTGCAGGTTTCAGCTTTTTGAGCATACATTGACTTTGCGCGGAGATATGGGTCACTTGGATCGAAAGAATATGATCCATACTCGAGAGGTGTACAGTATGTGCGTCATCAGCTATTAGATGATATCGAAAAATCTAAGAAGAGCCAAGTGCCATGCTTGAGATTAGTGTTGCAGTGTGAGTGAGTGGTGTTGATAAGGAGCATGAATTAGACTATGACGAGCGCGATACTCGGGCAAGAGAATGGCAGGATGTGAAAACTGAAAACAGCTATACAAAGACACTCTAAAACAGGTCCTTGATGATGCAAAAGAAGCAGACGCAAAAGGGTCTCAAGCCCTGCAGAGAATCCAGTCGAGAAACAAAAAGATTGCTGCTTTCAAGGAACTCCTGGATATCATTGAGCCAGAATGTCAATAGGCACTGTTATCGGATGTTTGGTCAGCACTATTATTATTATTATTATTATTATTCCATTATAGTCCTGTATCAGCCGTTGGCTATGTAGGACTTTGGCCAAAGGCCGTTCTATCTACCTAGTTACAATTTGGTACGTTGTGCTGTATTGCGTGACTATGGTGCTTCGGCCTGTATCTAGCTAAGCTATTACTAGCTCTCTAGATGCCTAGTGCTAAAGAGCAGTTTGGTAACAGGGAGAGATGTAGGGCAGCTAGGCTGCCTTCCAGCGAGCTCTCTTAGGGGAAAGGAAATATTACTAAAAGATCAAAATTCGTTCTTCTTTGTTTTTCTTCTTTTATTGTTCTTTTCTCTTGTTTTTCTTTCTAGCCTTCTTGGCCAAGATGCCACTTTCTTGTTCCTATCCTTGTGCTAGTAATAAAAGCCAAGGTGGCTTCTATACCGCTCGTGGTATGGAGTAATAGTGGGAGTTTGAGTACTTTT